CGACCCACACCAGTCGACTAACACCCAGGTACCTATTTGCTGCTAGGTGAACAGGACAACAGGTGTAAGGAAACGTCGTGTCGAAATGTTTCCACCCGCCGGGAATCGAACCCGGGCCCTCCGTGTGTGAAGCGGGAGCTTTAGCCACCAGGCCACCGGGCCACCCGGTGCCTTCAATACCAGTAACTACAATTAGATAACGCTAACACTTACCAACCCCATCCTACTTCTAAATAACATCAAAGAGTTCTTGCAGAAAACAACCCAAATATTATAGAAATCCGAACAGGGAAATAATTTTTATAGCTTCTTTATGGCTAGCCTAAGACATAGAAAATAAATGGTTTACTTAATACCCACAAACTGAACATTCCTCTCTGCACTCTCACCTCTGGTATAAGCAATACCCCTCAATGACCGGCTGGTCTTGCCAAATATTAGTCCGGGCTCCTGGGCACCATCAGCCCTACATACGTGAAGTATTCAGGAGACCTCGTGTCTTGTGTCTCCATTATCAATATCAAGAGTAAACACATAGTTTTCTTCGCTCCCTTCGTCATAACATTTTTTTTTTACCAACGTACCTACTCCAGCCACCATCTACATAATCTGACAGATCGACGATACTGACCTTCCTGTGCAACATATGGGAATCTTTATAGAAGAAACGTTTCGCCACACAGTGGCTTCATCAGTCCAATAAAAAGCATGAAGGTATAAGGAGAGGAGGAGTTTGAGGTAATAAGTATCAAGATCCCATGATGTTGCAGTGTCTGACAGATGTGATGAATGGTTTTGAAACCCAAGTTGAAGAACTGAGAGACTTATGCAACAAGCTCCTTATTTCTTATATCTTCCCGCTTTGTATTAGACTGATGAAACCACTGTGTGGCGCAACGTTTCTTCAATAATGATTCCCTTATGTTGCGCAAGTGTCTCAGTTCTTCAACATGTCGGTTTTCAAAACCATTCATCACATTGATATGATTGACCTATGCATGAATTTCAACTACTTTCGATACGAAAATAATCGTTACAGTGTTTCGGCATGAAATCAGCTTTTTCATCATTGCTGTACTATCTAATATCTTCGTTGAGAACCTTGAGACAGATGTTTCAAAAAATGATTCCGAGTACCGTAACGTGGATAAAGTATGTCGTTGATTGATTTAATTTACTTTGAAGTTCGAAGAAGAGGGTAAACTCCTCTTCTTAGATGTAACTTTATTTAAGACACTTGAGAGTGATACCTTTTCTTTTAAAGTGAACAGGAAGGCCACAAACGAGGACAATCTGGTACACTTCTACTCACACCTCGATACACTCTCCAAGCGGGGAGTAGTGATTCTATTCTTTTTAAAAACTTCCATATATTTAGCTCTGCTTTGTCGAGAACGAATACACCTATAGTCTACAATCCGTCACAAATCTTCACTTCGCCACATTCTACATCCACGACTGTAGACTGAAAGTCTTGATCATCTTGAATATCAATCCTTCATGAAGAATGCACCACCAAAAGATACTTAGTTCTTTATGTGGTAATAAGGATAATAACAAATAACTTCCCAGTATCCACCACTGGTGTCTACACTATCTCATGCGGAAACTGTGGTAAGAAGAACGCAATAGAAATATTTCTATTAGGATCAATGAAAATCAATATACAGGCAGAAAGGATGATCAGAGTAATGCTTGCGTGATGCATTAAGACACTGATGAAATGGATTCAAGCCTATCTTCTCATTGGGAAGCCATATTGAAGAAAAGGATGCTCTTCAGAGGCATCCCTGACAGCGGTAACAAAAATGTAGCATAAAAAAACAGGAAGTTTCAACAAATCTGCCACGAAAGCACACAAGTTTTTAAACACCTCCCACCTTCGAAACAGAGCGACCAGGTGACCTTACTACAGTTCAGTCAGTCCGACCTGAACATGTACCTTGCCTATATAAACCTGTTTCTCACGACCCATGTATATTTGGAGTAAACAAGATCCCAGGACCGAGGTATTTCCACAATGAAAGACCCTCAGTGTTGGCTCACTTGCCTTTATCTACAACACTCGGTATCATAAACCAGGTTTTTACGGTAATCGAAAGACTAAACTCTCATATTTTTCCACTTAAAAATAATAAAAATGTCCTTCAGTAAAAAATATCATACATCCTGCAGATCCCTGCAGAAAAAAAAAAGCTTTTAGTGTTATATAAATTATTTAGGAGAGAGAAGACTACAGCTTTCTCCCTCGAAGAGCTTTATCGAAGTTCCTCAGCCTTGGGAAGTTCTCGAGGGTCACAGGTATTCCTCGAGGAACTTTATGGTGGGATAATAGAGATAATGATTGGCGTTCTCCGCCCACAGGAAGTCCACGTGGTTGAAGTCTCTCAGCTCAATCTGGTAATCAAGGGCAACCCAGGGCAGCTCCGAGGCTGTCTGTTTCACGTCCTGTAACACACAAAAGTCAGTCATAGCATGTTCTTCAGCACAGAAGAAACAGTCATAAGATGTCTTGTCCCCTAACCTAGAAGACTCAGTCATAACGTGTGATGCAACACACACACACACACACACACACACACACACACACACACACACACACACACACACACACACAAACTAACACACACACAACTAGTCACAACACGTCCTGGAAACAGAGAAGAACAAGTTATAACATGTGCTGCAACAAAAGAAAATCAGTTATAACAAATCCTAAAACAAATGATTTACTCCTACACTATGATACAAAACACATGAAAAAATGTGTTAAATGACGATACCTTCACCACGCTGATTTTCCATAAAACAATATCGGCTTTGATTTTTATTACCCATATTCATTGCAGAATAATGCGGTTATACTTAATTATGCTAATAAAACAATACAGCAAACAAATAAAATATACATATTTCTCACCTGAGGATCGACGATCCAGTCGTTCTCAGACCAGAAGAGACCCACTGGCACTCGCACGTTGCTGAGAGAGAAAGGAGGAGGGACCGAAGTCCCGTACTTGACCATATTCATGGCCTCCCCGTGGTCGTAGGCGCGGAACTTACCTGTAACACCATACTTGTGTTGCAAGATAAGGCGTCACACTGTGTGTTATGCACGTGACGGAAAACAAGATTTATCTTGAACGGTACAAGGATGGATTTTTTTTTTTTTTTGTAATGTGTCAACTTCTTTAGTATTTTGCTTTATGTATTTTCATCACATACAACTCACCTTCTATGGGTGTATTACACTTTTTTGGTGTCAGAAATATTAGAATGAGAGTATCTCGCAATGTTCACTTAATAATGTATAACTGCTTTGAAAAAATGAAAAAAAAATAATGAAAGAAAGAAAGAATAAGAAAAAGAAAGGAATTAAGAAAGGAAGAAATAAAGAGAAGCAAAATAAATAAATAATAGAGACTTGTTGACCCTCTGAACCACCACCACTAACAACAGCACCACCACGAACAACAGCACCACCACAAACAACAGCACCACCACTAACAACAGCACCACCACAAACAAAGCACCACCACAAACAACAGCACCACCACAAACAACAGCACCACCACAAACAACAGCACCACCACTAACAACAGCACCACCACTAACAACAGCACCACCACAAACAACAGCACCACCACTAACAACAGCACCACCACAAACAACAGCACTACCACGAACAACAGCACCACCACAAACAACAGCACCACCACAAACAACAGCACCACCACTAACAACAGCACCACCACTAACAACAGCACCACCACTAACAACAGCACCACCACTAACAACAGCACCACCACTAACAGCACCACCACTAACAACAGCACCACCACTAACAACAGCACCACCACTAACAACAGCACCACCACTAACAGCACCACCACTAACAACAGCACCACCACTAACAACAGCACCACCACAAACAACAGCACCACCACTAACAACAGCACCATCACCAACAGCACCACCACTAACAACAGCACCACCACAAACAACAGCATCACCCCTAACAACAGCACCACCGCTAACAACCGCATCACCACTAACAACAACAGCACCCTCATTAACAACATCAACAACAATAACACCACCACTAAGAACATCAACAACAAAACACCACGACCACCAACAACAGCACCACCACTAACAATAACAACGGCACCACCACCAACAACAGTAGCACCACCACCACCACGAACAACAACAAAAAGACCACTACCAGCAACAACAGCAACAGCACCACCACTAGCAACAACAGCACCACTACTAACAACAAAAACACCTCCACCAGCAACAACACTATCACCAACAAGAACATCACCACCACCAACAACAACACCCCAACAACACCACCACAACCAACAACAGCACCACCAGCAATAACAGCACTACCACCACCAACAGCACCTCTACCAACAACATTACCACCACCAACAACAGTAGCACCACCAACAACAACAGCAGCACCATCAACAATAACAGCACCACCACTACCAACAACAACAACAGCACCATCACCACCAACAACAACAGCACCACCACCTACAACAGCACCGCCACCTCCACCAACAACAGCACCACCACCAACAACAACAATAGCACCACCACCTACAACAACAGCACCGCCACCTCCGCCAACAACAGCACCACCACCAACAACAGCACCATTATCACCATAAATTAGACACATGTGCAACTCTTGGGTATCTTTATTGAGGAAACGTTTCCCCGCACAGTGGCTTCATCAGTCCATACAAAGGATAATCGTGAAGAACAGGAGGAGAATGAGGTAATCAGTCCCTCAACCTTGAGTCGATGTGGTCAGTCCATCAATTTTGAATAGAATACGGCATATGAGCGGGAATTCTTCGCTTGCCTAACCCTTGGGCAAGACCTACTTACACATTGGACAAATGTGACACCACCTACGTCTCCTGCACCTCTCCTGCCTACGTTGTAAGCTGCTTCTCCGCACATATGCCGTATTCTAATCAAGACTGATGGACTGACCACATCGACTCAAGGTTGAGGGACTGATTACCTCATTCTCCTCCTGTTCTTCACGATTATCCTTTGTATGGACTGATGAAGCCACTGTGCGGGGAAACGTTTCCTCAATAAAGATACCCAAGAGTTGCACATGTGTCTAATTTATCAACGTGTCGGTTCTCTGAACCATTCATCTACAACCATTATCACCAACAATAAAAGCACCACCACCTACAACAACAGCACCGCCACCTCCCCCAACAACAGCACCTCCACCAACAACAACAATAGCACCACCACCACCAGCAACAGCACCACCACCAACAACAACAAACTGAAAACAAAATTCTGTATTAAACGTGACAAGGACCTGAGTCTGTATAATTCAGAGGCTGAAAAGGGTATGCTTATACCCACAAGATGTGGAAAAAGACAACAACAACCAACAACAACAACAACAACAACAACAACAACAACAACAACAACAACAACAACAACAACAATAATAATAATAATAATAATAATAATAATAATAATAATAATATCTTTATCTCTACATGTACATTTACTAGGTATACGACGTTTCGCCACGAGTGACTTCTTCAGCAACTCGTGGAGAAACGTTTCCTCTAATAAATGTCCTGAAGTATTCGTGTCTTTTTCCAGTTCAGTGGCTGCTGGAAATAATTGAAAGAGGTGATGTGTGACCACGAGAGACAAATGCAAGGAAGAGCAGCAGCTGAAGCAAGGAGTCGAACCATACGCCTGGGAAAATGATGGTTAGATAATACGATGGTGTCGAAGATGTTAAGAGTGACTGATAGTGGCGGTGGCGGTGGTGGTGATTTATTCGTTAAGACACAGAACATGCGTGTCCTTACTCGGGTCTTCGTCAAGTAATGATTCGTAACTGGTGAAGCATCAACAACATCAGCACCACCACGGTGCTGATGTTGTTGTGACGGTCTGGAGTTTTGAGACTCTCTGATCGCGGGTTCTATCCCCACCCGTGGTATGACTTTTTTTTTTTTTTTGGTGAAGCATCCGTTCGTTTACCCTACTAGCTAGTTTTGGCAATTAATGACTCACGAAATCGTAGTAACACGATTGCAAATAAATCAGGGAACGTGTGAGGTTTGAACCATAGCAAGTGAGTGCTAAACCTCACAGGGCAGTGTAAAGCATTACCACATATGTGCATGTGTGTGTGTGTGTGTGTGTGTGTGGTGTGTGTGTGTGTGTGTGTGTGTGTGTGTGTGTGTGTGTGTGTATGAGTGTGTGTGTGTGTGTATGAGTGTGTGTGCGTGTGTGTGTATGAGTTTGTGTGTGTGTGTATGTCTGTGTGTGTGTGTGTGTGTGTGTGTGTGTGTGTATGAGTGTGTGTGTGTATGAGTGTGTGTGTGTGTGTATGAGTGTGTGTGCGTGTGTGTGTGTATGAGTGTGTGTGTGTGTATGAGTGTGTGTGTATGTATGAGTGTGTGTGTGTGTGTATGAGTGTGTGTGTGTGTGTGTGTGTGTGTGTGTGTGTGTATGAGTGTGTGTGTGTGTATGAGTGTGTGTGGGGTGTGTATGAGTGTGTGTGCGTGTGTGTGTATGAGTTTGTGTGTGTGTGTGTGTGTGTGTGTGTGTGTGTGTGTGTGTGTGTGTGTGTGTGTGTGTGTATGTGTGTGTGTGTGTGTGTTTTAGTGTGTGTGTGTATGAATTTGTATGTGTGTGTGTGTGTTTGTGTGTGTGAGAGAGAGAGACTCAGCAATCAACATTTGCACCAATAACTCACTACAGTTGTGACCGGGTGTGGAAGTGTGAATTGTTCATTACTCTAAAATTTGTTCATGATTGCAGCCATGTACAAACGTAAGTAACCATTCTTACAGTATTCATTACCTTTGTAACTTGTGAGTTCATTACCTTTGTAACTTGTGAGTTCATTACCTTGTACCTAGTTCAGCCATCAAAACTTTGGAGCCCGGTCCCTGGACCCATTGTGTACCTCTGTAATCTGTAAATACCTTTGTAACTTGTCATGATTGTGACTAGACCTACCTGGAGTTCATTACCTTTGTAAATTGTGAGTTCATTACCTTTGTAAATTGTGAATTCATTACCTCTGTAACTTGCTCAACTATCAAAACTTTGAGGCCCAGTCCCTGGACCAATTATGTACCTCTGTAATCTTTTGACTACCGCCCACAGGATGGGTATGGGGTGCATAATAAACATATTAAACAAACTAACTAACAGTGCATTAGCCACTCAATGGCCAATGAGTTTCAGCACTCACCTGCCATGGGTTCAATCCTCACCCGTTCCCTGATTTGACACTCCATTTATTAAAAACATAAAGGAGTAGTGTGCTAGGATGGTTGCAGATACTGGAGTGTTGTGAGGGTGCATGAAATGTGAAGCAAGTGACTCACGTGAAGCATGAAGCTGCCGGAGGTGCGTGAAGACTTTTAGCCCTGAGCCAGCTGGTGTGTGAGCGAAGATTACTGGCAGGTAGTTCTGTGAAAGTCAGAGAAACAATGCGTTATTTGGGAAATATAATTAGATTTATAGGCCAGCGCTAAACCTATACGAGTTACACAGCACCTGTGGGTATGAGAGGCCATTAAGTTTGATCTGAAGAAAAGGAGGGTAGGTCCAATTCCTTGGATCAAGGAATTGGACCTACCCTCCTTTTGTTCGGATCAAACTTAATGGCCTCTCATACCCACAGGTGGGACAATAGGTATGCGTCTTAATGGAGTTAAATCTAAATTGTTAGAGGTCGGTTCGTGGGTGGGAAGGAACTTGGGACAAAAGTATGGTTGGCAGGTGGTAGACCAGATTAAAATCTGTGGGGTATTGTACAGAAGGGCAGGGCAGGAAGCTAGGGAGGCCAATTCCGTAAGGATTGTACAAGGAGTATTGAGGAGGTTGGGGGGCATACAGTCGAGTGGGCTGATGATCCATCACAGGGTCATAGTTATAAACACAATCATTTATTCTAAATTGTGGCATGTGGCAGTGGTCTATCCGTTGATGATGAATGATGTGCCTTTGGTGCAAAAGAAGGTAATACGTTTTATTTGGGGATATGGTTATCATTGGCTGAAGAAAACAGTTGTGACAACATCATTGTGGAGGGGTGGTTTAGGATTAATTCCCCTGTGTAGTAGACTGAAGAGTAGGTATGTGAAATAGTTATATACGTTTGTGTGGTATCGGGATATAAGGGTGAGTGAAGTTATGAATGACGTGCGGCAGTGGTTGGGGGTAGGGAATTGGAGGAATGTATGTGTATGTTGAGATATTTATTGCGGGTTAGCATACAGGGAAAAGTGTTGGCGCGAGTTTTGGGGAGGACTGTGAGGGGTAATGAGGTGATGGAGGGGGAGAGTGTCTTTCCTTTATATAATTGGTCGGGTATCTGGGATACGTTCCGTAAGTTACGGTTAAAGTCAAAGGTGAGGGGAAACTATGTATAGGCTTTTACATGGGATTTTACCTACTAAAGAACGACTGTATCAGATGAGCATATTGCAGTCTACATGTTGTTTTGTGTGGGGGGGGGGGTGGAGACTGCATATCATGTGGTGTATTTATGTGAGAATATCGCGAGGGTACGTCTATGGTTTTGTAGAGTCTTGGATATGGTTGGTGGAGGTAGGTTAATGGTACTGAGAGCATTGAGTTTGGATATAGATGGAGTGGGTGATAATGTGAGGAGGGCCGTCATGTATTTAGTGGTGGACAATATTTCTATATAGAATGCCCGGCTTTAGCCGGGCATTTCTATAAAACAGTGTAGGAATGAGGTAGTGTATGGGCGAAGATGGGTTACAGATTTTCCAGTTCCGTATAGACTATTGAATGTGAGAGGGCTGCGCGAATTATAAGTGTAATGGATGGATAAGATTGGTTTCTGCAATACGGATGGGGGGGGGGATTGTATACCTGGCATTAATTTTTGATCGAATATTCTTTTGATAGGGCAAAGCGTTATTATTTTATTATTATTAAAGATTCGCCGGTATTCTCCCGGCCCGGGCCTTTTCCAAGTGGTGGCCCGGCCTTGGCTCCCTCTTTAGGGAGTGTCTGAGACCTAAGTCTCCCATGGGAGGAGGCACAAGTACCTTCTCATCTTTGGGACCAACTGTCCCCAGACCTAGCCACAAGCTAGGCCTCTCTGGTCTGCCATCCCCGCCCCAAGGGGGCTAATGGGTATGACAGTCTTGTGAGCTGTAAGCTCGCGCTCAGGCACCTACCCTGCCCTAGAAGGGTTAGGCATGGTGTCGATGGCAAAGCGTTAATTATTGATGTGTTATATAATGGGTGGTCACGGGGAAGCGAGGAGGCTTACCAAATCGGTTGGGTATTTTTATATTATTATGTATGTAACTGAGCAAGTATGATAATATAATAAATCTTGTAAATATAATTTTAAATCATATTTCATGTGATATTATGTGTCAACTTGTTTAAATATGGGTATACAAATAAAGTGAGTGCGTGTATATTATTATTTTTTTTTTATATTTTATTTAAAACTGTATTACAAGATTCAATATAAAGATACCATGAAATGGTACATGTTATGACAGAACATTTAACACTAGTACTACAACGGTCCACTGAGTGAACATACATACAAAGTTACCTTAGATAGCCTAACACATCCTACAATCTACCTAGAAACAGTGTTACATAATCACAAAGATCTTCATAATACACTAATGCTAACACTGACTTCCAACACCTCCACAACCCCCACCCGCCCCTCTACAAGTTGAAACCCTGGCCACTCTCACCTGGTGCAACACCATAACAATATGTAACATTAAAAAAGTTACCATTGCCAATCTCACGTGGTTAAACACTTTATCAATGTTAAACATTAACAAGTTAACATCCTAGCCACTCATGTGATTAAACATATTATCATTATCAAATTTTTTTTTTTATATTAAAACTCAGGTACAAAATAGATATGGGTGCATAAAATAATATGTCAACGAGATACCAAACACTAACTAGATTATTATTATATAATAAATAATAAATTCAAAACCCAGGAAAATGTAAACACTATACAAATAAACAATGTGACAAAAACAAGCACACAGAATTTTTTTTTTTTTTTTTAATTTTATTTTTTTTACAAGTTAAACTTGGGTGCAAAATTAACATCATTCTGCTCTAAACCCGAGATCCCAAGATTTAGTTATCATGGTTTAAAGATTATCCTGTATGCAGTGAACATAACCATAGGTTTCCAAATTCATCATGCATCTCCTTCCCACTCCATTCATAGCCCTCCCACCATCCACACAACCAAGGAGCCTAAACCAACCTACCCTCATGCATCCCCCGGTAGGAGACCAACCCTTTGCCCGCCCCCTGGGTTCATGAGGAGGAGGCCCCCCACAGTGAGATCCGGTAACCTTCAAAAAGCTAATTACCCACCGCCCCCCATAGACTTGCCTATTCCTACACATCGTTCTATAAAATCTTGCTGCTAACGCTTTTATTCTCAACTCTCCCCGAACCTCCCGCATCCCCCAAGATACATGTAGATAATCCGTCATGACATACATTAAAGCCCTACCCACATCACCCGGCACCCCAGTTACATCCAACATTAAAGCCCTTAGGAATGGCCATTCCCCCCCCCCCAAAAGTCTGATAACGCTCACCATCCATAACCTCACCCTCTCCAAAGAGGGACAAAAAAATACCGCATGAAAAGCCGTTTCGGTGTCCCCACAGTGCAAGCATGAGTCCTCTCTTACAAGACCCTAGAGGCCAAAATTCCCATTAGAAAACAATATACTAACTCCCGTACCCTCGCAGGTATTCTAAGCAAGCCAAACTTCCTCCATATGCTCATCCAGTCATATGTTGGATATACAGCAAGCCCTTGTAAGACACCCGTACCCACCACAGCACCCACCATCCGTTTGACCTTTAATTTGGACACCTGTTCTACATTCAATAAAACCCTCAACATGTCTTCACAATACCTCAAATCCCTTCCACACCACCATCTTCGTGCATCCTCCATTACCCTACCTACCCTGATTCCCCGGTTCCCCCCAGTCCGGCTATATCTTTGTTTAATATATAAAGCCATTACTCTATGACCCAATGCCATCAGGCCAAGACCCCCACGTCTCGCATCCGTCATCACCACGTCCTTGCTCAACCATGCCCTCCCAAACCCCCACACATACCTTAGAACCTTCCTCTGGATTTCCGCAATATCCTGTGCTCTCCTGTGCCACTCCCCACACCTTACTGTAAACCAGACAGTTGACCACTAATACTCTCTGCTGTAATGTTACGTCCCTAGCCCTTAAGCCTCCAAGCCTACCCAAAACCCTGCTCGTAACTAATTCCGAATTTAGCTTCCTACTATCCTGCACTTCCGCCATGTACCATACTCCACAAACCCTAATTCTGTCCACTACTGACCATCCCAACCCCTCCCCCAAGCTCCCACCTATCCAATCCCCCACCTCTAATAGTCTCGACTTCATTAAATTAACTCTCATACCCGTAGCGTCCCCAAATATCTGAATGACTCCACCAACTTTCCTTAGATCTTCCTCATGCATTACCAGCACTGTAGTATCATCTACATACCCAACAATACCCCCCGCCCACCCCCCATTATCCCCTGTCCATTCATCACCTCATCCACTAGCCCATAAAATGGATTCTGTACGCAGGCAAACAATAACTGAGAGAGTGGACAGCCCTGCCTCAAACCTCTCTCCATCAGTACTGGTGTATATTATTACTGCGTGTATATATCAAGTGTCATGTTATCATAAGAACATAAGAACATAAGAACGAAGGAACACTGCAGAAGGCCTACTGGCCCATGCGAGGCAGGTCCAAGTCTCCTACCGGCTTAAGCCAATGCCGATGACATTCTTAACTATTGTAGGGCTTTTGTTTATAGTCATAATACTATGTTCTTCAGTTTAAATTATGTTATTTATTATTTCTTTTTAAGTTGTTTGAACAACTGTCAGATGTTGTGAAGTATGGTACACTGGGGCAAAAATTGGGAGGGGGGGGGAGGGTTGCTGCTCATAATGTAAGGATCTTTAATCAAGTACTTGTTTGTGTGTATTTTGTAATTAGCAAATGAGAAGGTGTTTGGGGACTGTCTTTTTTTATTTGTATTACTTATAACGTAATCTTACCGGATTTCTGTATAATGGCATTACACATCTACCTGTGGAGTGACGTGTATTTAATTGCCTATTAAAGCATATTGAAATGTATATTATTTGATTGATGTAATGTTTAAAATTGTCTACTTTAGTATTTAACATCGATGTAACGGAACAATCTGTTCATGTGCTAAGGAATTTTTTGTGTCAGCCCAAAGTTAATGTGCAGTGAGTTTTTTGTGACGATGTTGCTGTTATGTTGTATGTGGAAGATCCGGTACTGTGTTCATTTATTAACATCAATTGTAATGCTAGGATAGCAGTTGACATTTTTCACTA